AATCACAAGGTACAATACTTAATGATAGTCATAGGGTACAAATAAGCAATCTGGAAACAATATCAACCTAAATCATAAGCATACAAAGTTACCGTCATGCAATGAAATTATACAATTTTGAAGTAGCATTCCTGAGAAATTGAGGCTCAGTTTCAATCTTTTATGATGTATCCCTTCATTGAAATGGGAAACATGCAGCAGAGTGTCAAATGCTGCTGTTTTAAGATCACTGTTTTCAATAACAAAGGCAGTTGGGAAATGAAAAGGGGGAAAGCATTATAGCATATGTTGTTTTTTGTTGTATTTGCTGTTTGCTGATTTTTATAGGCTAACCAGACTCGTGCTGTCTGAATTGGGTGGAAATTTTAATGCTATAAATAAATACATGACACACTTGTTAGCATACCTGACTGGGATTTGAACAATTGTCAGTTTGGGTACTGCCACATCATAAATGTCTATTTGCTAGTTAGGAGTAGGATCATAATTATCATAGGACTTAATAGCAGTTCCTATATAGATGCTGGTACCCTGTTAAGATGTTACACAAGTAGAGTATATGTATTAAAAAGTCTAAAGAGTTTGAGTGAGAATACCTTCCACATGGCCAAGTGTTCTAGCCTGTTTTTCATTGTAGCTCTCACATGTTAGATAATGTAGAGTAAAATCTAACTCTTTTGGAATACTTTGTTCCTAATTTATGGAGAACGTGGTCTTTTCTTAGAAATACAAAAGATGATGGAAATTCTCTTTCCTGCTGATCAGTAGCAGTTTTGTATACAGGCAGTCATTGACTTTTAAGCACAACTGAGACCAGAATCCCAGTTCGCACAGTCCTGAGCAAAGCGGTCATTAAGAGAGGTGCTCACATGACTACTTTGCTCAGTGACTGCAATCCTGACTCTCCTAATTGAGATAATTAAGCAACAGACCATTAAGCAGAGAACCAGAAATAGGGCCCACTCCACTACGCCCAGGAGACCCAGGCCCTTCCTGGGTCTACTTTTTTTGCTTTTTTCAGGCATACCCAGTCGATGCAAGGAGGGGCATTCCTCCTGAGACTGCCCTGCATCATTCTGCATGTGGACCCCATTCTAGAGTAGAATAGAATAACAGTGTTGGAAGGGACTTTGGAGGTCTTCTAGTCCAACCCCCTGCTTAGGCAGGAAACCCTACACCACTTCAGGCAAATGGTTATCCAACATTTTCTTAAAAACCTCCAGTAACATTCACAACTTCTGGAGGCAAGTTATTCTCATAATCTTTGGATGACTCCATCTCCAAATCATGCACTTTGGAGGAGACTTCCAAACGATCACAAGAATGATAGTGTTTGCTAGCCTTCCTAAGCATTCTAGCCCTCCTATGGCTAGACAGCTAGTAAATGCCATGGTTCTGGAACTTACAAATCTCTCTAGCCTTCAGAATGGCGGCAAATCCTGGAGAGAGAGCTAGAAAACTAGCAAACGCCATAGTTCTGAAGTCTAAACAATTTTCTAGCTTTCAGAACCGATAGTGGTTCGCTAGTTTTCGCATTAGCATCCACTGAGAGAAAGGCAAAAGTGAAGTCATATCATAGTTCAAATGATATACATATAATTGTCACCATCTTCATAGTGATATGGCATGTATCATGATGACTTGTATTTATGTATATGCTTGGTCAATACCTCTGCCTCACTTTTCCCTATATTAGTATGGTAGGGTATTTTGTAGAGAAAGTAACCCATCCTTAAGACCCCCAAAAAATAAAGCTCTTTAGGGTGCTACAGAATTCTTGGTATTTGCTGCAATATAATGCTCTAAAATTTCCTAAAAATTGCCTTGTCTTTGTAAAAATACAGGCAATGTCTAGGCAATGTTAACAAGAGGTCAATGTTTTCTAAATAACTTTTTAAAAATGATTTGGTGCTGCCCTAGGAGGAGCACCATTAATCAACTTGCATTTCAGATAGATTTTTAGTCCTGTCAGAAATGATTCAAGACTTTCCTTCAACCTACCATACCTCTACACATACTATCTGACCAAAGTTTACCAAAGTGGCCTTTACCCTACATTACATATCCATAATATGTTATCAGTTATTTGCTCACTACATTTAATTATTTGTTTTCTGTATCTCTTTAAAAAGTCTAGCTTTGTAATTGAAATGTCTTTGCTATAGCTTTTTGTTCATCATGACATTTTTCCGCTGCCCAGCTGTGCATTTTCTCTCAAGTGAGTTTCTGTTGCACGGAAAGCTAGCTATAAGCACATACAGTCCTGCACATAAGCAGCTTAATTTCTTTAGCAGCCACAAACAATTGGCAAATACTTTCACACAGTTCCCATCTATATGAATGAGTGCTATGCTAGAACACTTTGGTAGCTCCCATTCATGTCAGTGGATCTTCCTTAGGCCTCTTAGTTTGCACGTTTAAATCAATATTCATAGATAATCTATTAACGTTGGCATATTTTAACAGAAATTGTTCCCATAAAATAGCATCAAATGAAATTAAGTATTTAGTAGTCAGAATTTGTTATACTATAGTTCATTCTTCATGAAATATATATATTGTATTTTGACTGTTTCCTGGGATACTAAAGCTTCATGTGAAATTTGGCTTAATAATTTAGTACAACTTTAGTATGCTGTTTAAATGCAATTGTTATCTAAAATACATTATGACTCAATGTGGGGAACAGCATAAGACACCGAAAATGTCTTAACTGTACATCAGGCAAGAATAGGTCAGGTTTTGGGCCTAATATTTTTATGATGCGTTGTGCCACACAATTCTTGATATAGCAAGTATAGACCAGATGATCAAAATGCACTAAAACTGTTCTCTTGATTATTTTGTATATTGTATAATGAGCTGTATTTATCTTATAGCTCTTTATTTACTCAATAAAGCCTTATAACAAAGTAATATTGTCTATTTATTCTGAATCTTATGAATCACTTCTGGATTTAATACAGAACTGATAACACCAGATTTTATATTGAATTTGGTCCATAAAGACTAGTAATTGAAGAAAGAGGTCTCTTAGTTTTATGACACATTTGAAAGTTCAAAAATTACAATCTAAGTCTCATTCTAACGTGTGATTTTATATGCTTATTTAATCAAGATCACTCTTCTATTAGCATTTTCCTTGAGGTTGACAAATTCTTCAAGGCACTCAGACATTACTGTTATCTTTGTTCTTCCAGTAACAGTTCTTACACTAATGCAAGACCCAATTTTGTACGTCAAATAATGTTAAATTTGATACAATGTTTGGGGTACCTGGGTTAATTATATTTAGCTTTTTTAAAGTGCATCACTGAAAGACATACACACATGTATGAGACTACGTTAACAAAATTCAGCAGCAACATTTGTTAGATGCAAGTCCTATTAATTTTATGAGAAAAACAGGGTAACATCAACAGAAAGCACCACCAAAGCAAATATGTTACTGCTGGTTATTTCCTGCTTTCTCTCTGAACCAAGTTACATAGTAATACCAAACCAATGTGGATTGAAGTCAGCAGAAGTCAACCTGAGCCCAGGAGCCATATTTTATTCTTCACTTTACTTTCTTCCTCCCCCAAATTTATGACAGGGAAATATATTGGCATCTTATCATCATGAAAAAATAATATTGCACATGACATTCATTTCATAGCCAATAAATCCCACTACTTTCAAGAAATGTACTAAGTGAAGAATTTGGTGACACAAAAGTGAAGGCTGCAGTGGAGTAAACCTGCTCCTTAAATATGTTTGTTTTTCACATATAATAGTTAAATTTCTAAATATTAAAAGTTACATTTTTGGTTAAAATCATTCAAATGTAAACCACAATGAGGAGGTAAATGCCCACATCCTTTGTGTTTTTGATGAAGTCTTGACTCCAACATTGAATCCTAAAAGATTTATTCAAGAACACTCAATAGAGCCTATATAGGACCTATTGTTGAAAGAGTGCAGCGAGGAGGAAAGCATTCAAGTGATTAGTGTTGCAGAGATTGGAAGGACTGGACTGCCATCTGTCAGAAATGGGGTAGGGTCTCTTGCTTGGGCTAGATTTAGCAAAACAACAATTGAAGGGACCTTACAGGTCATCTAGTCCAACCCCTCCCCCAATCAAGCAGATCCTACACCATTTCTGACAAATGGCAGTCCAATCTCCTTGAAAGCCTCAAGTGATGAAGCTCCCACAACTTCCGAAGGCAAGCTGTTCCATTGGTTGATTGTTCTTACTGTCAGAAAATGTATCCTTATTTCCAGGTTGAGTCTCTCCTTGTTCAGTTTCCACCCATTATTCCTTGCCTGGCCTTCAGGTGCCTTGGAAAATAGCTTGACCTCCCTCCTCTTGTGGCAGCCCCTCAAATACTGGAACACTGCTACCACATCTCCCCTGGTCCTTCTCTTCAATAGACTAGCCATGCCCAATTCCTGTAACCATTCTTCAAATGTTTCAGTCTCCAGTCCCCTAACCATCCTGGTTGCTCTTCTCTGCACTCTTTCTAGAGTCTCAATATCTGTTTTATAGTGTGGTGACCAAAACTGGATGCAGTACTCTAGGTGTGGTCTTACTAGAGCTTTATAGAGTGTTATTAGTACCTCACTTAAACTTGATTGTATCCCTCTGTTGATGCAATTTAGGATGCGGCTAAATGCGGCTTTTTTGGCTGCCGCCCCACACTGCTGGCTCATATTTAGATGACCTACAAGGTCCCTTCCAACTCTGCTAATCTGGTTTAAAAGCGGACTGCTCCAAAGCGCCAACGCCAATCCTTGGACGGTTTCCTCCTCCTCGCCGGCGCGCTTTTTCGACCCAGCCCCGCCCCCGCTCCCGTCACATCCCTCCCCACCAATGCGAGCGCCCACTAGCAGAATCCCAGGGTCCTCCCGCCCCCATGTCCTCATCTCGCTTCCCGATTGGCCGAGGGTCCGATGACGTAAGCGCGGGTGACCAAGCGGGCGGGCGGGCGGTGCATCCTCCGGGAGTCTTGTTTACGCCTTTCAGGCTCCTTTTTGCCGCGCAGTAACTCGGTTAACCCTTGGCGCGTTATAATTGTTCCCGCTACGCCGGAGCTGCGGGTGCCTCGAGCCACGGTGGTCGGCGGTGGTGGGGGAAAGAGATGCCGAAGCGTTCCTGCCCGTTCGCGGACTCGTCCCCGGTGCAGCTGAAGACGCGCGTGCGGCTGAAGGAGCTGAGCCAGGGCGTCATGGGCGAGAGGTACCGGCGCGAGATCTTCGGTGAGGCGATACAGGTGGTGTGTGTGTGTGGGGGGGGGGGAGGACAGAGAAATCGCTCGGCGGGGCTTGTCCTCGCGGGAATCCGCGCTTCGCTGCTTGAGGGCGCGTTTCCCTTTCGCCCCCCGCCGCGGGGCCCTTTCCGCCCTGGCGCGACCTGGACGCGCCTCCTTTCTCCCGGTCGGCCTCCGGAAAGGCGGCTTTTCGGAGGAAGAAAGCGGAGCTCCCCTTTTTCTTGTTACGGCGGCACCGGCCGCTCTAACTTGGCTGGTATGTGACCCCCCCCCCAAAAAGCGCTCTGTGTATGCTCAGAGGTGCTCCTCCTCGCCTTCGAAAGCGTGGGACACACAGCCGTTTAATAAAAAGACGAGGCTCATTGTTCATCTGTCAAAAGAGCCCGTGTCATTTGATTGCCTTGCTTTCCCTAAGCGCCCTCGGTTGCAGAACCTGGGTCTGTTTCCCCCACAAAGCAAAGTGTCCTCGGCTATAGTCCCCAGTGTTTCGTGCTTCATCTTCGAGGCTATTTTATGTTCTTGCTGTCTTAAAAGACTTAGGCAGTTGAATCTTCAACAATTCAGCTCGGTTCAACATTTAATTTGTCTGTTTAATGTTGCATATAGATGAGTACTGTCACTATGATACTGTGATAAGCTCATATCAAACCAGCTTGAACTGAGGTATTTAGCATTTAATTGGCATATATAATTCTGACCTCACTGAAGCAATATGGTTTGGTTTTAGGTAAATCGTATGTTGGTGATTTCCAACAGCTAGAAATTCTTTGCAGGAAAAGAGATTTAGGAAGTTGCTCACACTTTCTTGATTAGTTTGGAGGGTACAATATTTAGGGTTGAAAAGTTCAGCCAGCCACCAGAAGGCAGTATGAGTAACTGAAATCATATTTGTTGCTATACATTTGCACATAAGAGGTTATACAGTAGACACAAATTGAATAATGCACTGTAGTGTCACTCTGGACAGTACAGTTAAAATATTAATAACATTGTCATCTTTGTTCTTCTTCTCATTATCACAGAGAAAACCAAACAGCTGCTCTTCAAAGGTGCTCAGACATACATGAACAATGCCTGCAATGCAAGTGCAGTGGGAACATATCTAATTGCACAATATCCAGAATCATGTATAGACAAATCAGAAATTTGTTCCTTGCACAGATGTAATGGACAAATGTTAATTGGGCAGGATGGAAAACTTCGACAACCCTGTGCAAGTGAAATGGGTAAGGATGGTTAGTTGTCAAGCATTTATGTACTATTACTTTTCCATTTTCAGTTTTCAACCTGTTGTATTTATATCTAGACATGCTGTTTGCTCTAGTTGTTTTCAATGATAAGAGAATTTAGAAGTAGTAGTTATGACTAAACTTGTGCTCATATATTACTATCATTGAATTATGTTGGTAGTAGCTGCATTTTAGTATTTAAGTTTGTGGTGAGAATTTTTCCCCAGTTGTTTAAAATTACATTATGTGTTCTGGATTTTTGAAATATGAAATCATAATTGGAAAAAGCCTCAGGTAATTTCATTTAGGCAGTGCAGAAAGTACAGAAATTATAAGGCTATGTAGGCAGCCTTCGTCAATTTTTCTGTTGTCATTCATAGTTTATTTGTATCACAACTAATCTGCTGTAGTTTCCAAGAATACCCCAAGAACCATGCAACTATATTTATACTAGGAGAAGAATATATTATCAAGTTATGCTAAATTGAATGTTTTTTCATACTCAGGGTAACTGCATGTGTATGGTTAACAACAAATTATAGATTATTGCCAATGCAATTTTAATTGGTTGGTTTCTGATGAAGTGTTTATGAAAGAATACCCTCCTGTGTTTGTGGCTGTATCTAGCTAGTTTCCCTTTTAAAAAGAGGAGACAGCAAATTACACAAGGCTTGTTCCTGATGTATGAAGTTTTGTATGTATATAGAATATTGTATTGTTATAAATAAATTTCTGAATATATTGTGTAAAAGTTAAATGCAATGTTGTATTCATTGGATAAATGCAATTGATCCTGAAATTGTAATTAAATGATCTTATCTGATGTAGGGATATATATGAAAAGTAGTGTCACCTGATTTGCATATAGAAAAAGTCCCAGGCTCCCTCCCTGCTAACTTCAACTCTATTAAGTGATACCTTATCTATTGGATAAATCTATTTCGATCAATATAAATGATTTTGTACTAGAGTCCAAATAATCTGATTATATAAAAGGAGATGCTTATGGCAAACAGTGCTGAAATCTAATTTACCAATCTGTTTGTTTATATACAGTTTTGCCGGTAGGAGTGTCAAAAGCCTGTTCCTCCTGTATAAGAACAGTTGACATCAAAGATGTTTGCACGCAGTGTGATCAGTACATATGCCAGAACTGCAGCAAACTCTGCAGCTGTTGCAGCACCATTGTCTGTTCATTATGCTCAGTTATAGAGTAAGTGCCTATCCAGATAAGCTTTAATTTCATTTGGTTGTATTGAATTGATAAATTCTGGAGGGATCTATAGTTGTAACATGACAAAAACTAGATGCAAATTTAATAAAGGTGATATGAGATGAGACTGCAGAAAGTTTTGAATTAAGAATTTTAAGAACGGATACGTAGAAATCAAATTCATTTTTGACTCTTGACAGAAGGGAATGTTTTATATACTACAATTTATTACTTGAATTCAGTAACATTGGAGACTGTTAGATATGGCTGAATTAATTACTATAGCATAGCTAATTCAATCTTTTATATCAGGATTATCTAGTTGGATCTTATTTGAATTCAGTAAGACAATACTTATGCTTTTATTTCTCATGACAGTTTAATTTTGTTACAGCATTATGGTATGTGGAAGAGCCATAACAGAAGTTGTGTCCTCTTTGAACTTACTAATCAAAAAGAGACATTAAACTAACTTTTATCTCTTTTTTTTTAGATTTGACGATGTTGGAGATCAAATCTTTTGCAGTGGCTGCTCAATGTACAAAGAATAAACAGCTGTTTTTAGGAAATGGTTGTCATTAGTATTGTAAAGAAAGTATTGCTTTTAAATAATTAGGTTTTTGAGATACTGGAGTGCCTTTTTCTAAATATTGTATATTCTGTAATTGTAGTTTAATATAATAAATATTTTCTATTTTGATAAGACCTGATTTTTGTGTTGCTTGATAAAATAAGGATAATATATTCCTTGTAGAGAATATAGAAGGGATTCTTAGTATCTCCAGACAAGCCCTCAGATTTGGTTTGGAGACCTTGGAGACCTAGTGGAGTACATTTTTGCAGTATCCAATAAAAGAAAATTGTTTACAGATTTGATTTCTAATTGAAAATCACTATCCTAATCTTATAATTATTCATTTACCTGTAATCTGCCAATTCATTCTTTTTAAAATCCTGGGGCTCATGATTATATTTTAACACTTCTTCTATGTGAAAGAAACTTGATATCATATTTAAGAAGTCAACATTATTTTTTATTTTAAAAAAGATGCATGTATTTTTGTATTAAGCTGAATGATACTAGTACTTGCCTTACAAGTCCAGTCTTCATACAGTTTAAGCTAAACACATTGTCTCATTTTTTATCTTATATAAAAGATACCAGCTACGCTACATAATTGACACAAGCCCTTAAAATAATGCCTGCTAATTTGTATGATATGCAAAAATTAATTATAAGGACATGTTATAGGTTAGTATGATTAGCTTTATTATATTTTAAGATCATTACAACTTTAATTTCAATGTGAAATTAATACTGCAAATCCCACATTCAAAAAATATTGCTTGTTTCCTTGTATCCCAGCAGGTATTGCATTCAAATATCCTTAGCATTTTTAATACTGTGTTTCTGGGGACTGAATTATCCTACTGAAATAGTATTTCATATCTGCAACTAAATTCTTAGGTGAGGGAATATAAAACTTCACTAGAAAATATGGAAAATAGTTTGATCACAGTCAGGATCAGCAGTGAAATTGCCTTGTGTGATCTGAACTGCCCTAGAGAGACAATATGACCTAAATAATTTAGGGTGGGAATGGGGAACTCTTACCTGCTTTCACTGCTATTAGTAATGGTGTTCCTGCACAGGACTTTAGTGTGGAACTGTTTCTAGACAGTAATGCTTTCAACCACATACTATTTAAATTGCATGGTGCCATGATCTGGCTCAGCACTCTTGCCATAATTCACATATTTATGGAATAATATTTTTCAAACATTCAAATTAAGAATCTAGTACTAACTCAACAATCCCTACTGCATATGTCTGAGTTCCAAATGACGTAAATTGGATTGTTTAGATATGATTCTGATCCTCTTGGAAAAAAATCAATGCAGAACTTCAGGAATGGCTGCAGTTTTATTACCTTTTTTTTTTACAGAATAACTGCAATTAAAGTGACTGTCCTTCATTAAAAAACAATATTACCTTTCAAACACCTTTAGTGTTTAGATGTGGCTTTATACATGGTGAAGAATGTATTTATGCTAAACAACAGCAAGGCAGAGGCCAAATCTGAAATATTACTTGCAAAATGTTTTGAGCTTTAACGGTAACCAATCAATTGAAATTTAAACATTTAATTGGAATTGCAAAACACCTTGGAAAGAGGTAATAACTATTCATTCCACCATGAAATAGGAAGTAGGAACACAATAGGAAAGGAAAGAGGGGTTTGGCCTTCGTGATTAAAAACACTGACTTGCATTTTTCCATGCCATTTAAATTTGAGCTACCTTGTGACAAAGATTGATGACAGAAAGCCACACTTTCAACTCCATTGTGACAGGAAGGAAGCCTATTATCTTTTTGGGTGCGCTGGTAGGCAAAATCCTAAAATTCTTATTAAAGGAGAAGAAATTTGTTTTCTAATTTTCTCTGCAACACCATGGATGTCATTTTTCTGTATTCTAATCGCAAATGACGATCAGAATACAGGAAGGGTATTATGCACAAATGTTTGTATGTTTTGAGTGCAGCCTAATACATTCTCCCAAATTTGGGTTGAGCCTTGTTCTATAACCAGCTCATCTTCTACCAGGTTATAGGAGAAAGTGAAGGAGAGGAGCATAATTTTTCTAGGAAAATATGTAGTTGTTCTGAATTCATCTTCCCTGTAACAACTTGCCAAGTGATTTTCCTGAGTTCTAGGATTTTGGTTAAGAAGCTCCTGGTTGTGTAAAATCCAATCTCAGCCTGGGAGATTATATTTATTAGACTTCAGTGCTACATGGTTTCTCCAGCCTTTTTTATTGATAAAAGTCAAGGTCTGTGGCAATAACTATCCATCAAGTTCTAAAACCAATCTATGAAAATGAACAAAAAGTTAGTAATGTTCAAACAGGAAGACTGTGGGTTGCAATAATGCCTCAGCCACGAAAGCCGGCTAGGTGATTGGGCCAGTTGCTCTCTCTCAGCCCAATCCACCTTTTGCACTGTCCCATGTTTGGGTTCAGCCTTTTTTGTGTTTTCTGACCTCACCCAATCTGCTAATTGGACCAGGCCAATGAGCTGCATTTTTTTTTCTTTTAAACCCAGCCAACTTTTTCCTGTGTGTTATGTCCTAACCTGCTGGAATCTCTTCTATCTGGAACTTTCTTTGAAAGTGTTTTGAAGTGAGAGTTAATGCAGAATAGGGTGAATAGGTTTTCTGATTTATAAAGCCTTATGCAGCTTAGAGCTAAAGTAGCTAATGAGCAGCCAGGCTCTACATGATCTTGCTTCTTGAAGACTGTCCCATCATCCCGAAGTAAAGTGTGTGGTGACTCATGAGATCTATTAGGACCGTGATGACAAACCTATGGCACACGTGACACAGGTGGCATGCGAAGCCCCCTGTGGACACGCTAGCCATCACCCCAGCTCAGTTCCACCGCACATGCACATGCGCCTCCTGACAGCCAGCTGATTTTTGAGTCTCTGCTATGTATGCGGGAGATGCACATGCATGTGTGAGGAGTGGAGGGTTGCAGCGGGGATGCAATGCCCCATTTTTGGTCCCAGAAGGCTTCAGGGAGGGGAGTCGTGCACACATGTGTGGGGGGCGGGAGGTCCATGTGTGGGGGGGTGTCACACGTGCATGCGTGGGGGAGTCCAGAGGTCTCATGTGCATGTGCAGGAGAGCAGGGCACATTGCATTATGGGTGTGGGTGCATTGTCGTGTGCGCGTTCGGCATGCGAGGACAAAAAGGTTACCCAACACTATATTAGGACATTCCTCTTGCCTTGTATCCTGACTGATTCACTTGTAATATCTCTGTATGCCTTTCCAGTAGAAGCTGAATCTTCCATTTATTTTCCAGAAGCCATATTTTACTATATACATTTAACTGTTTTGAGAGTTCTATCAGGTGTTCCAATAGACCAAGCAAAACGAAAACAAAGCACAAACTGTCCTGTTTCTGCTTGCAACAGTTTACAGTTTAGGTGTTAATGCATCACAGATAAGAATTGACACCAGCATCCATCAGTCCTACTAGGACCTACTGCCAACACTTAGCCTTGAGGTGCTTCCTCACTTTTTTCTTCTTACCTGTTATACTGAGAAATACCTGGAAGCTTAATTTAGTGTGGTTTTTTTTATTTCTCCCAAACACTTTTCTCATCAACACTCAGCACTGGAAAAATGTAAAACAAGAACAAATTGCTTTGTGCACAACTATTGCATCACAATTAACCTTCCAACTGGGCTAATAGAAGATCCATCAAGTAATACTTTGCCATGCAAAGCTCCAATTTTGAAGTCAGCCAGGTAATTAAACCATTTTCTTCCCTGCATGCCTAGTGTTACAGAAAATCTTCCTTGGGGACATTTCAAATTTATATTTGGAGGTAAGGTCCCTAAGACAGAATTTTTAAGAATAAAACCAGAACTTTGTAGCCCATTCCTGTGGAAATATACCCTGCTCCCTTTTTAATATCAATTAAGCAGAGTTTATTTAAGAAATGTCTTAGTTAAGAAGATTCTTTGCACAATGTTACCACTTGTCATATTTGTGTGTGTGTGTGTGTGTGTGTGTGTGTGATGAAACTTAACATTTTAATAAAGCGGAGGACACAGTATATTAGCTTCAGCTGGACAAATCAGTATATGAGTTGTAGCAGAGTCTGAGATTCAAGCACTCAGGCTGCTTATAGCTGACAAAAACACATGCAGGCATGGTCAAAGGCAAACTATAGTTGGTATCAACAAATGCTGGACTGCAAACTTTTGTTTTGGGGTGTCTGAAGTCATTATCAGCCACCGAGAATCTTCTGATAGAGAAGGATGTACATTTGATTAGTAAATCAATAAACTGTCAGACACAGCCAGGAGTAAATTAGTGGTTAAGGATGGAATCTGCAGTCCAATATAGAGGCTACAGATTTTTGAAGCACATGACCAGTGAAGCCAAGCAACTGGGAATGAACGTGAAGAAGATAATTTTAAATCATTCTTTTTTGTCATTCAGTTTACTATTCTATTGTTATTAGACTATTGAGGGTCTAGAGCTTATGCTTTCTGCAAAGTATTGCTGAACTTATTGCTGTTTTAAAAGAAATGTGCAAGCAAGGTATGAGGCCAGGAGTTTGTTTCTGAACTCGTCACTAAATTACTTTTGCACATTCCGCTTCTTGCAACTGAAAATACAGAGATAACCTTCATACATTTTCAATGAAATCAAGATGACTTTGTCACGATCATAGGACTAAAGAACTTACCAATTTCAGGATACTTACAACCCAACAAACTGAACCCTCCCTATTTCTTCCCTGCCAACTCCCCTTTCCACTTTAAATCCCTGCTAATATAGATCAACTTTTTAAATAAGTAATATTAATCTTCATAGCTACTGTTCATCCTTGGTTACTGAGAAAACTGCATAATATAGAAAAGTCTGCATCAATTTTGCTTTTTTAATCCCCTATACATTCTACCAAAACCAAGACAAAACTAACTTGTTAAAGCACATTTTATTGAAGTACTTTTGAGGGAAACTTTCATATCATAAGTAAAAATACTAGAACTGAATGTTGTTTAAAAAAAAAGTACAACGCACACAACAATGGAATTCTGTGTAAAGGGAAAGTTGTGGGTATTTTAAATACATTCCCTTTCAAATAAAAAAAAAGTTAAGGAACTGCAATATAGGTCTTTTTTTTTAAACAGGTAACAGAACAGAAACACAAGCGTGTCTAAAAGAACATAAAGCCACAACTGAATAAACTCATTCACAGTACGAGAGCTTAAAATTCTGGCCCGTGTCAAAAAGCAAAAAGATAATTTTGTCTGGTAAATCCACAATAATGTGGCTATGAAAATACAAAATGAAGTGACAAAAAGGTTAAAAAAAAAGAAATGAGAGGGGAGAAAAAATCTTGATCGTATAGTTTCACCTTAATATTTTTTTTTTTACATATAGCCATTGCAACCACTGATGGACTTTCTCCCATACATCGTGGTACCATCCAGCTTGCCCTCCCTCCCCCCATAACCTTTAAAAATGTACATTGAAGAGTGGAAAACAGATGGACAGGATTTCAATGTGAGAAATATCTTGCCATGTTAATGCCTCTCTAAAACCTGCTGCTGCAATCTGGTGCCCTCCAGATGTATCAGGATTACGCACTGCAGAATTCTGTGGCAGCTGAAAGCCCATGCTGCACAGAAATATTCGGAGCTGTGACCCTCTTCTGGAAGGCATCAGGCTGGGAAAAGATGTAATACACATATGAGCAGGGCCTATCGCTTCACTGCCAAAAATATGACTCCACTGCCAAAAATATGACTTTTGCTCAGTAAGATAGATGTTTCTTCACTTAAGACTATTGTGCGTGATTTGTTTTTTATTGTGTACAAATCCTGCCCTCTCCCCCTGGTCAATTTTTGTAACTTGAAAGTGTTTTCAGTTGAAATAGGTAAAACTGATTTCTTTCTCTAAAGTGTAACTTCCCAGAAACATGCTGGGACAAGAATGTAACATAACTAATGTGCTGTCTTCAACAGGACATTGTGTGGTTTTAAAAACAGATCATTCAGCTCTGTTTGATATGTAACATGTAGTAGCAGTTGTGCTAACGTCATTTTCTTCTTGACTCTATCTCTCTGAAGTCCCACATGCCATTCCTATAAAAGGCTTCCTAGAATTGCCAGCAGATTTCTTGGGGCCTTGATGGCCCAGAGTTTGTTCGTTTTTTGTGTTGCTGCTCTAATTATTGCACTATCTAAGTCTGCCTCTCATCCTAAATAAATCTAATTGTTCAGAGTGCAGCTTTTCTACTTACACATAATGAACAGTATGAAATAAATAAAAAAACAGTTGTGTTTTCGTTTTGTTTTTTAAACGGTCAACATTTGCTTTAGACTTTTTGAAAGAAAAATTTTGGTGCACATTCTTAAAAACCTAAAATGTCCTTTTGTCTCTCCAGAAGAAAAAGTTTTTTTTTTTATATTTATAATGCATTAAGAATGGTTTCTTATCTTCCTTCTCAAAATTGCGGAGATTCTGACTCAAAAATTCATCAGGATTGTTTTAAATACATAGCCTGTGAGGCTTCCTACAAATTCAACTAAACCGTAATACAAACATAGTTTGTAATTCATGTAACGTAGAGAGTTCTCTAGTGTCCATTGAAATTAAAGGTCCCCAAAATGCAGTCTGATTGGTTGACGTTATGGACAAGTGAAACATTAAGCTGTTCCACTGGCCGAGTAAGAGAACTGAGGGAAGTGTGGCCGCCGTTCGTTATCAACACAATCCATGCTGTCATCTGAAAACAGAATGAAAGTATGGTTAAACCATTGCTACTGTGGTATGGAAAGTACACTATGCATCTTGAGTGTACACACACACATACACACACACACACACACACACACACACACACACTTGCCTATTCACAAAATTACAGTTATGATAGCATGGTTACCCACAAAACATCCATTTACCAGAAAGTAAATCAGAGCGTTCTCTACCAACGCAATGGGACTCAAAAGCATTCTTTTTCAAACGATTAACAATCCTAGAGTCTGCTATGGGTTTTGCACTTTATCAGCTACTTATTCATTTATTTTAAATGTAGCTAAGAACTGCATTAAAAATTTTTTTTCTGTGTCTGCTAGCTGATGTCTTATTATTTTCAATATTTATGTTCTGTGAAAATTGCGGTTTATGAAAATTTTATATTACTTCTATTGGTTGGTAAAGAGTTCAGTGGCAGTATGTGATCTGCTTAGAGGGTTATATCTGGTCTACAGTCCTTTATAGCTTTTTATGGGAGAACCTTTTAATTCACAATCTGTGATCTGAACTCTCTCTAGATTTATCTCCCTTGCCACTGAAAGCTTTATATTAACAGCTGAGTAGGAATGTTCACTTTTTGGTTTTCTTTCTTTAGAAATGAAATTTAATTCTATTTATTCTTTGTGAGATTGATTCATCTGTCACAGGGAAGAAGTGATTTCCCTGGTCACAGCCTTTAATACTAGGGGCCAAGAGATAACATGACATAATTTATTTAATTTTTACCAGATGCTTTCTCTTTTACTTGTCAGTAAGATGCATTGACTGTCTGGGCTCTCTTTATCCTGAATGCTGGCGTTAAGGTAGAATAGATAGTTGCAGCAGGAACTACTACATCAGGGGTGTCAAACCCATGGCCCATGGGCTGGATGCGTCACACACTGGCCATACCCATGCCTGGTTTAGCAAAGGGGGAAAAAGTCGTGATAAGTCACGTGACAAAATGAGTTTGACACCCCGTACTACATCAAGGCAGAAGACAGAGCTGCAATATATAGTCTAGAGGTTTTTGAAAAAGGACCTGAGAACTGCAAACTTTTATCCTATGGATTAGTCCCCCAGTAATAACTACCTCTGAAGAACAATCTCTAACTACAACACTTCTGCTAATTGTTTAACACTGTGGTTTTCCTGGATATTGCAGTTTTCCGAGGCAGCTATGAATTTTCCGTTGAATTCTCCCATCTACTGTACTAAATACAAGACTACAATTCTCAGCATTCTCTGGGAGAAAAGGAAATGACAAACACTTATAGGATTGCTAGCGATGCATTAAGATTACCAGCTGAATCTAAGATTGCCAGTGGTAAATTAAGATTGTATTAACCCTTGCTACATGGCTCAAAAAAAAGGCAAAGAAACAGCTTTCATTTACTGATGAAATTTACATTCTTTTTTTTTTTTAAGCAAATGGCACGTGTTAGCCAGGAATCACCAACATGACTGGCTGCCTCTGTGAAAGGATTTTTTTGGGCGGTGTTATCTTTACCCGCGGGACACCTGAATGCAGGTAGGCAATCGGGGGAGGTGCCTTTCTTGTCCCTACGCAGTTTATTCACTCATGGGAATCAAGCTACCAACCTCAACGGTGGGTGCACAGGCCCAGCGCCTTACGTGAGGCTCAGCAGCCCCCTACTGATAGGGAGGATGGACAGACAGACAATCTGTCTATGGCTAGGAGGATAAGCTTTTTTTAAAAAAAAATCAATTGCTGTCAGTATGGCTGTGACATTTTTGTATGGCATATTTTTTATCCATTCAGAAAGATATACCTAATGTTTTTTTCTGTCATTTTCCACTGAAATTAGGCAGGAAATGGTAATGCTGCTGATTGGCAAATCTAGTGGATTTTAGTCTGTGGAGATTCTCTGTCATCCAGGTCATGGTTATCCCAAAGGTGCCTTCTTCAAAAGGCAACTGGACTTTCTTAGATAAGTCTTTTTTTTCCTGTTCTTTTGAAAAAAAAAAAAAAGTATCCTTGGGGTAGTGGGTTTTACAATTTGTCAAAAAAGGGAGACTTCCTGCAGTCCATAGAAAGGTTAAGTTTAAAATCTGTTTTTAAGAAAAAACCTCCAGTACTGCTTGAAACAAGCTCAGCTGCCACACTTAAGTCTTCTTGTAGTTCCACCTTCTGCCTTGATGCCGAAGGTTGGTAATTGTTGCTGCCACTATCTAGTTCAGTGTTTCTCAACCTTGGCAACTTGAAGATGTCCGGACTTCAACTCCCAGAATTCCCCAGCCAGCATCCGCTGGCTGGGGAATTCTAGGAGTTGAAGTCCAGACATCTTCAAGTTGCTAAGGTTGAGAAACACTGATCTAGTTTACTTTTATCTTAACACCAGGATTCATGATACAAAAAACTTTGGCAGCTCCGAGAGCTCTTAAAAAAAAAAAGGGGGGGGGGGGTAAAAAAGAAACAAGTCAAAGGCAATGTATGCTCAGAGCCATCATTATCCAGAGTCTCAGGCAAGAATTTATTAAGCTTTCAGTTGAGCCATGTGTCCTGTTGTCCAACTGAAGCACTTTCAAGCAGTATTACCTTGATCAGGGGGGGTGATAGTGATCATCTGTGCTGTGAATTCTTCATCAAAATAGCGTGTATCTGTTTCAGACGTCACCTGGGGTTTAAATGGAGGTACCAGCTGTAAAAAGAAATAAAACCTGGAATTGAGTTGTTAGCATAGGGGAATCTCAGCAACCCTCCCCAGGTAGCCGAGCCAGCGTTGCTGAAATTTGGCAGCCAAATAACCAACTTTTGGCAGTAAAACATTTTTATATTCTTTTAAAAATGTAGGATAGGGATGGGAAAGCTTCTATTCCCACTCAGATCTCTAATCCCATATCGCATGAACTCATCGATGCTTGAGCCAAAATTGACCTTATTTTCTGGCTTTTAGTTAACTCTCAGGTAAATTGTTATAGAATAATAATAACAATAGTAGGGCTACCTCGCTGTTTGGAAAATTTAAATTTATCATTCTGACTCTACAAAAAAACCACCCTACTTGGAACAGCTTATATCCTCCGACGTTACCTTAACAGTTCCTAGGTCCTTGGTTAGGACTCAAACAATTGAACTACCAACCAGCCCCAAAGGCTGTGAATCTCACCAAATAATAATAATAATATAACCCTCTTATAAAGGAGAATAATATAATTAAATGAAAAGCCACTTCTCTGATTCTGTGCTGGTTGGTAGTTTTGATCTCAACACAACTTAAAAATGCTCACCTTTTCTCTCTACAGACATGTATCCCAATCTCTCTTCAAAGAGTCAGGTTGGAGCCCCTAAGCTTCCCTAGGCTCTGTTTCCTATTCTGCCTGCCACTAGTGTTAAAAGCTTCTTAATTCCTCAGCTGCTGCGCCCTCCTCTCACCCCTGATTATGTTATGAGTACCTAACTTCAGAGTTGGCTGTGAACCATTGATTGAGAACCCTAACCCTAAGACATTTGGTGGTAAATAAAGGGTGAGATAAAAAGTGGAGACATGATCAGCTAGTGCATGACACTCATTAGTGTGCAAAAGTAGAACAAGAGCTTCCCTATTTTTAACTTGATTGATTTTTCTGCTAAAAAATTCCTAGGGTTATCTGAGAACTTGATGGGGTCTCGTCAAGGAGGGGGGATGAAACCAAAAGGTGTTTGTAGCTGTTTTTTGGGTTACAGCAGAGAAGATGTGCTTCCAGTAAAAAAAAAATGTCCCTGTCATTTGTGGTTTGGGGGTTCTGGGTCTTTTTTAAAAACAGGTTCAGCAGCTTGAAAATTCTTTAAAACCCCTGTGTTAAGACATCTTGCAATGATAATACAGAGACAGAGCCTAGCGCGTTGAGAACTGTGATTAGGTACTAAGATATACATTGCAGTTTCAAATTATTTTCTGTGAAAAAATAAGTATTACATAAATGGGTGGGATGAGATGTTGCCTCTGATAATAATCGGTTATAAAAATATAAAAGGGAAATGCTTTGTTTTGCAAAGCAGATCTTCGTATTTTATTTTTTGCCATTATGCAAAAAGATACTTAGCATATTGTCACATGTATTTATGACAGGAAAAAATATATAAAACAAAATTGTATATATCCAGGAGGCACACACTCATCCTTTTCAAGTATCTCTGATGACCTTTACGCCTGCCAGCTACCATCTTTCTTCCAGAAATTAAGGTCTAAGAGACATAACCTAAACAGTGCATTGTTTTAATTCAATATCCATTTTTCTCTCTTTAAAAAAAAAGCGCTGTTGGATTTTGTGCCAGAAGTATATGTTAATTCAAAGTAAGCTTTAATCAAGGAATTTGAGAAGATGATAATACTTTCTTAACTGATAGGCCGAAGGGTTAATGCTCTGGCAGCATCAGATGGTGGCTTGGCTATCATTGTGCTGTGTTTTTCCCTAGTGAACGGGATACCAAAACTCTGTGACGGTAGTGCTCTACGTCTTACCAGTTTAGCACCAGGCTGGAATAGCCAAAGTGCAGAGACTGGACTACTCTGCCCTGCCCTTATTGCTTCCCAAACATGGCAAACAGGGATCTGAAGCAGTGGTGGGTTCCGGATCTCGTTGCAACTGGTACGGTTGCAACAGGGCCCGGCGTCCTCCCCATGAATGTGCATAGCACGCACATACATCTTACTGTCTAGTGACGCCTCCTGCTTGGTGGAGCTGTACGCGCTGTGCGCATGCACGCAAGTGCCAAAGAGTTTAAAGGCAGGTAGTGGGGGTGGGCCTTCCCGAGCGCCGTACCTGTACCAGGGCGTACCGCCTGCAACCCACCACTGATCTGAAGTAAGCGTCTCTTGCCGATCCAAAAGAAAGGAAGGGAGGGCAATAAAACCCCAGTGACTCAGCACCTTCCATCACTTGGCTCCGCTGGGTTGTTTTTAAAACCCGTTACTCATCCTGCATTATAACAGGATGGGGCAGAGGAGAAGAAGCTGAAGAAGAAATCCTAGAATGACTGTGTCCTGCAACCAGACCGGCCTCAGGCCTTCTGCGGAGCCATGACTGGCAGATTTATTCCTGCCAGCTGGACATAACAGACAGAACAGCAAAACCAGCATCCTTCTTCAGTGAGTCACAGCTGTTGCAATAGTGGCAGTGTAGATTGGTGGCACGGACAACAAATGTTACACTAAAGAATCAGTGGATAGCATTTTAATTCTGCAGTGGGGAAAGGTCCAGACTTTTCAAAACTGTCTTTTTTTTTAAAGCATTTAATGATGCGGAAGCTCAGAGTCCAATTTCATTGGCGTAGGGTAGAAGGTTAATGAAATAAACAAATTTAGCCTTTCATTCTCAAATTAAAATAAACCATCCTCCAGTGTAGCATTTGCCGCCATCCCCAACCCGCAATTTGGGAATTGCTAGCTCTTTCAGAAGCTTCAAATTAGAAGAATAGTGCTTATTGCAGATGGTTTATTTTTTAAATAATTGCTTTGATGGCCTGAACTACTTTGAATGCTGACAGCATGTTGTAGAATACTAGAAATATCCACATATTAATTTTTAAAAAAGCATTACGTAGAGGAAGTCAACCATCCTGAAGGCCAAGTTACAAAGAGTATTTAGAGGCAGCAGTACCTTAAAAAGGTAAAGTGAGAATACTATTAGCTTTATAAAGCAAGAAACTATTTTTTTCTTTTGATGTTTCAGTGGATATGTTTTTTGTCTTGAACCATCTGCAATACTTTTTGTATTTATAAAAATGCTGGATATATTCTCCCATGGAGAACTGGGGATGTAGAATCTATATTCATAATAAGTTATCAGCAAACTGAAGACATGGTCATTAAAATCTTGATTCCAATACATTGACCACAAGGCAGGCTAACAATGCCTGCTAAAGAAAATGAGTCTTTTATATATACATAATACTATTAGCACTTTGGAATTACATCTGCAGGGAAATGCAAACATTGAGGGGAAAATGAGAGTCCAAAATAGCTCTAGCAGCAATGTGATTAATGTTGACATTTAGATACAGGGGGAGGGGGATATAGTTCAGATGGAAGGTCTATATAAAAATGCACAGAATTGGCATGTAATTACATGATCCTTAAATGCCAATCCTCTTTCCCCAATACAATTAGACTAAGGATAAAACAGTAACCCAAGATATAAAGACAACAGGTTTCAAAAAATTTTTTTTTTCAAACCACAAAACAAAGCTGAGGTTTTCAAAGATGTCTTGGGGCATTAACTGAAATGCATGCTAATCAGACAACATGGCTAGCTCTTTTCTCTTCTTCATTTTTCTCTTTTAAGTTCCACTGCCAGAATGGAGGGAATAGTGGAGAAAAGAAAGTGAACCTCGGAGCAAGTTTATGAAAAGTGGAAGCACGTTGCCAAGTACTGGTAAATTTAACTACAAACATCTTTTTCATCTTAATGCATTAGGCTCTTTTTAATTAACCCGAATGACAATATGCTTGGAAGTGTTCATGCTGACCTCAACATTCAATAAAAGATTAATGAAAAAATCAGCTTCAAGGGCCCTGCATCAAAGCAGTCAGTACCCGAGCCAAAAAATCCATCTCAATCAGCAAAAAGTTGGTGCAATTGAATGCAGTAGCTAGGATCATTTATGTGCAGTGCCACTAAGGGGAAGCAGAGAGCTATTCTAGGAAGGATATTAGTTGTGCAGAAAGAGAAAGAGAGAAGAAGCCTAGACTTCTGGGACAGAACAACTCTTGCAATGCAATATTTACAAATCTGGGGGACAGGCTGGGATCTTGCAATTCTAACTTGTTGATGGGAACCTTTTGCAAACTGAGTTGCATTCAGGAAAATTTAAAAAAAAGACTGCAATAGAAGAAGGGCTGAAAGAAGCACAGAAGGAAAATGACTGTTTTGGATAGTTTTGTAAGCTGCTGGAATTCTTTTTGTTAATTGAAGTGGCGTAAGACCCACTTAGACTCAAACAACTCCGCATTATGTACAGATATACAAAGTGCATATCTGTACTTTGGACCATATCTAATTTGCACCATGTCACTTTAGGTACATAACATTTCAAGACACAATGAAAAGTTTAGGTTTTATGTGCAAGATAATTTTTTAAAAAAATGGGAATTATGAATGAGAAGGAGACCCATCTTCTCAAACTGCAGCATGCTAGCTGACACAGAATTTTAAAGTCTTTTATACAATCTAAAAAAAATCCCATCTTAAAAACTGTAAATACCTTTTTTTCATATACATCTTGCCAAACAATGCCAGAAAAAAATTTGTGCTGCATAATCTCCTTTGCATCATCTGGTCCACCACCTAACCTGTTTTTTTGGGGGGGGGAGGGAAATCACCAACATTAATACGGTGCATTTATTTTAAATTCATTTGCTCTGAAGTGTTTCTAATGGCATATTTTCATTCACAACAAAAGTACAACTTTGCTAAGAAATAATGAAAGAAATGCAAGTTCTAACAAGCCTTTAAAAAAAATCTTTTTAGGAGCTTCCTGGAAGTGTGGAACACATGCTACAAAAATTTAAAGCAAACCACAATAAATCCATGTAAACCTGACCAAAATATTCGACTGTGGCTACCCACAGACTATCAAGCTTTTGAAAATCCACTCTTCCCAATCACTGCCCTGCTGCCCCACTCACTGTGGCCTACGATCACCCCTCAAGACACAGAAGATTTTGTTCTCTATCAAGGAGAAAGACCTGAAACATCCTTTACTGTTTATTCCCCAGGAATAATGAAGTGTTTTCACAACAATCGTTTCTTTAGAAGGCAGCTATGTCCCAAACATAATTAAGAAACAGCATTTGAACAAACGTAAACACTGTATTTGAAATGAAACACAAGTACAAATAGTGATTTTATGGGGAAAAGCATCTTCATTTGCTCTAAGAGTTTCTATTTCCCCACTACCTATACAATAGAGTTTCTCAAATATGTATGCATTAATTGATACATTACTAAAACTCTCGTGGTGTTTATCTGTTTGAACCCACAAATTAGTCCAAACACTGCATTATACTGCAACACTTTCTGAATCACAGTACCTAAAATCTGCTAAGGGATGTGTAAAAATCTTATTCCTATGAAATGGAAATTTCCACCATATTCAGGCCAGTTTTTATTTGTAAAGTTATGGCCATTGCAGTGTCCCTGTGGTCAGGTGATCATGATTACTGACACTCCCTGTCAGCTTCCACAAGCAAAGTCAATGGGGAAATTGGAAGAAAGTCTGCTGTTTTGCCTATCCATGATCACTTTGTTTATGTACCGTGTTTTTCGGACTATAAGATGCACTGTAGTTAAAGATGCATCGTGATTTTGAAGAGGTAAATTTTTTAGAAAAGGTTTTGCATTCTGCAGGCCTCCCAAACTCTCTGCACGCTTTGTGTGTCTGTGTGTATGTGTCTGTGTGCACGTGTAGAGTGTGTGTGGAGACTATAAGTTTGAAACTTTATCAGGGGACATAAAACAGCTAAATTATAACAAAGAACGCACGTAACAGGCTTGGATATATGGAGAAATCAAAATCACAATGAATGGAATAATGGAAAACATACAGAAGACACCTGACTGGTCACTCAAGAATCTGGGAAGCGTTCAAGTCAAATGCATTAAACCTTCACCTTTGCTTTGGATCCTTCTTCAGCAAACCTGACAGAAGAGACTTTGCTTCGGGTGATAACGTACGTGGAAACCTAATCTCTTCCATTAAGATGAGCTCAAATAGTTTCTCGTGGTCCTGATTATAGAAGGGAAGACGTCCACACATCATTTCATACATGACAACTCCTAAGCCCCACCAATCCACTGCACGGCCATAGTCATTATCCTCCAGCACCTGTAGACAACGGCAAGAGTTCTGGATCAGTGGCAAGCTTTTCACCAAACAAAGTAAAATGGAATTGTTTCCTCTAACAAGTTGGCAACTTAAAAGGAAAGCCTACGGAACAGCCATCTTCAGACATGATGAAGTAAGTACATCTCACATTAGCCTGTTATATTGTCTAAGATGCCATAGCCTCCTGGAAAACTACCCACCTTCCTCTTTAAGGAAATGTCCTTCAGAAGTCTGGACTGCCCATCATTTCCAAAGAACAACACTGATTATGCTGGTTATCAATGATAGGTATTGCAATTTGGAGGAACCAAATTGGGGAAAATCTGCTGTAAGACCTCTGCAGCAGACTTGTTATTTCAAAGGTTGTGATCCTCCCTCCCCATGAAAAGTTGTTGAACTTCCAACTCCTACAATTTCTGTTGCCCAGGAACAATAAAAATTGGAGTTCTGCAACTTCTGATCAGTTTCTAACTGTTTGTTGGCTGCTGCCTAACTTGCAAAGCCACATTCATACTTAACAACAAGTACAACTAAAACAACATGGTCACAATGAAGATCTCAAACACAGGACACTGAAAGCATCAAGAGCAGGGATAGAACATCTTGGAAGTTTGTTCTCTACTTATTAGTGCCTGCTAACTGTTTGCTACTTTGCTTTGGGAAAAAAAAAAACATTGGAACCTAGAAGATGGCCTGCAGCGAAAAACCAAAGGCTGCCAGGTATTGGATTACCCCACGCAGGTCTATTTACAGCATCTTTTGCTGTATGATTCACACCAAGCGACAGCTGGCTCTGCAGCTGCCCCATATATGTAGAAGCCCAACACAGCTGCTTCATCTGCTAGGATTCCAGGAGCCGGGCTCATCAGCCTCTACGAGCAATCCGGGAGCAGGGAGGAGGGGTGTCACGCTTCTCATGTGGGGTTGTGCAGCATGCCAGTTGACCCCTGCTCAACCAGTCACACTCTTCCCTGGGAGGACATGTCGTCTCCCTGGACAGAACTCAAATTAGGGCTGGATTTTGCTAGTGCAGGAGACACAACACTATATCACCTTTTTTTTGGCTGCTTACTCCTCCCTCCCAACAAGACTCAATGTATTTTACAAGGCCATTTAACAGGTTTTTAAAAAATCTCATTTCTCCCTAATATTCTTGGGATGGTCTACATGATTTTCTGGGATCATTTTTAAAACAAGAAATGTTCTTCCTCAGTTTTTTTTTAAATGAAAACATTGAATAGTTTGTTAAAAGGGCATACATGATCCATCAAAATAAACTATCCTAAACACTAAGCAAACAGCTACATAATTTATTTCAATGATCAGCAACAGTAGCCAGAGGGCAAGAAACCCTCTTATACATGGATATGGGGATCCATCACAAGGAAATGCAGTTTTATTAAAAGTGAATTTCCTGCACTGGTTCTATAAAAGACATTATGAAGACACACAGAGGACATCTTATAGTATAGTATCTACACTCTTCATTAATACTGTAGTCTAGTACTGCTTCTAAATCTAGAACAGTGGTTCCCAACCTTTTTTTGGCCACGCCCCACCTAAGCATCTCTAAAATCCTGATGCCCCCCCCCCCGTGACATATAATTCCTACTTTACTCAAAAATTGAACTCTACTCACGTGGAGGAAGCCTAAAAGGCTATTAACTTGGTTTAAACAAGGTTCAAATTGCCCCCATTAAAAATCAAATTGTCCCCCTGTGGGGCGTGGGGCCCACATTGGAAACCACTGATCTAGAAGAATGAATACTTCAATGACCAAGACCAGCCCCGAATACACTTCTCAACATTATGTTTTAGACTTCTTACTGGCTGTATGTTTAGTACATCTGGATCCTGCCAAGTTAAGGAGATTGCAGAACTATTTTGTTGAGCCTCCTAAATGGAAAGTAGGTAATGTTTTTTTTTTTTTAAAAATTGTGTTGATGGTATTTTTTTTAAAGAAAGATGGTAAATGTCTTCAATATCCAAAGCCAGATTTTCTCTGAGTAATGGTCCCTTGCAGTAGCTTCAAGTAGTTAGCCTGGAAGACTATCATCAGCCTGCAAGAGTTCTCAGAAGTACTGAGAACCTAAGATTTACAAAGCAAAAGCATGTTCTACATCAAGATGCTATTTTAAGCTTGTCAGTGTTTGGAAGACAAATGAAAAGGGAAAAATCTACATATGGTAGTAGGAATATTTAATGCCCTTGCATGTTTTTTAATTGGAGGAATAAATAAGGATAGGATTAAAAAAAGGTCATTTTACTTAAAATAACTGACTGGTCAAGTTGGGAGCCAACAATGCTGAACAGCTGCATGGTTGGAATTTACAAGAGGAGGCACAACAGCTGTAAACACCTTGGTGATCAATACATCTAACACATCAAAGCTGACGTGGTACAGCCGCAGCCTTCTATGTACCAAATTCCAGCATGACCCTAAAACAACTATGCAGCAACTGTACAAACAAGTTCGAAGGCCAGGTTCCAATTACAAACAGATGACAACAAGGCAAGCCTCACTTTCCACTTTTTTAAAAAGGTTAAGTGACTTCATTGATATGGGACATTTGCTAGTACATGCTCATCGGCTGGTTTGAAAGCCAACTCACTAACATGATATCTAAAGGCTAACAGAAGTTGAACATGCCCCCCCCCCAATGAGATATTGTTCCCAAACCCAATTTATTTAGTACTCTTTGAAAATCCAAACATGCTCCCCATATTATCCAGGTAACTCTTTCTACATTCATGTAAACAAGCTATATTGTTAGTTCCATCTTGCAAAGTTGCACGGGGCCTATGGATTGAAATAGAGTAGCTTTTCTCTAAATGTATTTTCCCCCCAGATATGCTGGACTGTAATTCTTGTCACACTTCTTGTAATTCTTGTCAGCACAGACAGTTGTGGGGACTATGGAAAACAAGAGTTGGAGGAAAATGGAACTGTATTTGGAAAGACCAACTTCCCCAAGAGAAACCTAGAAACCATCTCAATCTTATGTGTGAGGTAACTGTGAGGGTTACTGTGAGGACCAAATGAGTACAGAAAAAAGTCACGTACAATGTCATGTTTCCCTGGGAAGAAGGATGGGATAAAAATGTACTACATAAATAATTTGGGTTAGACTACACAGCTTGCTGAATATATACACCACATGGTGTGTATATTCGCATAACTTCTGGAGTCATTAGTCACAAGGAGAAAAAGCACAAACACTTGGTTTGAACTCATGACAGAAAATTAATTTTGCTGATGTAATTCATTGCCATAATATGTATTCCCAACTGCTAAAGAGGGGCTGGTTTTTATTGTTCTTATAGCTTAGTGTCCCCACTGACTCTTGTGAAATGATGGTCTATGAGTCTAAAAAAAAGACTAATTTGATTCCTGGAAATTACCAAAAGTAAACTAGATCAGTGTTTCTCCACTTCAGTAACTTTAAGATGTGTGGACTTCATACTTTCAGAGCATGCAACCTGAGGAATTATAGGAGTTGCAGTCCATCTTAATGTTACTGAAGTGCAGTAAAATAATAATAAGGTAAGGTAAAGGTTCCCCTCGCACATATGTGCTAGTCGTTCCCAACTCTGGAGGGTGGTGCTCATCTCTGTTTCAAAGCTGAAGAGCCAGCGCTGTCCGAAGACATCTCCGTGGTCATGTGGCCGGCATCACTAAACACCAAGGGAGTACGGAGCACTGTTACCTTCCCACCAAAGGTGATTCCTATTTTTCTAGTTGCATTTTTATGTGCTTCTGAACTGCTAGGTTGGCAGAAGCTGGGAGAAGTAATGGGAGCTCACTCTGTTACACAGCACTAGGGATTTGAACCGCCAACCTTTCTGATCAACAAGCTCAGTGTCTTAGCCACTGAGTCCCCTACAGAAACAATAGATTAGATTAATTCTTTGAAGGCCATTAATGTGGCATTTTCACCATTTGATCCTGCTGCAATTATAAACCTATATATTCTCATTCATTCATTCAACTCAAGAATGGCAAACATACCTAATACTCTATATTCTTTTTTCTCCATAACAACAACCCTGTGAAGTGGATTGAACAGAGGAACAGAGGAACAGTGACTAGACAGTCACTCAACTGGCTTCCATGCCTAAAATGGGTTTAGAACTCACAGTCTCCTGGTTTCTAGGACCGCACCTTTATAACTAAACCAAACTCTCTCTACTAGTTCACAAGATTTGGACAATGCAAATTCAGAAAAGCCAAACTGAATTCTCAATAGCTTCCATTTAGCTTTCATCTACATGTCTAGGTAACAAATTTCAAATCAGATTAAGACTGATTTATTATGCTCATTAAGGCAACCCAAGTTAATCAGAGAAAGGATGCTTTCTCTGCTTTTATCCCACTCCCCAATTTTGTATTTTCTCAGATGCAAGTAAATGGCTATTCTTTTTTATGGGAAACACTAACTAAGACACAGTGTATGAAAAGCAAAATCTGTTTTTTGTGCATTTCAAAGTGATTAATTTATTACATTTACATCACACTATAACCCAATTAACTCTCAGCAATTCACATACAAAGGTAAAGGTTCCCCTGCACATATATGCTAGTCATTCCTGACTCTAGGGGGCGGTGCTGATCTCCGTTTCTAAGCTGAAAAGCCAGTGCTGTCCGAAGATGTCTCCATGGTCATGTGGCCAGCATGACTAAACAATGAAGGCACATGGAACACTGTTACCTTCCCACTAAAGGTGGTCCCTATTTTTCTACCATAAGCTCCTTCTCATGAAAAGATCATGGAAGTGCCAATTTTATTAGAGAATGCGGTCCTGACAAGAACCTGATGCCAAGCTACTGTGGACTTTATAGTTAAAATCAACATTTTACACTGCACCCAGAAGCTTCTTGGTGACCAGTGCAGGTGTAACGTGCTCCCAACACCAGGTGTTAGTGAGCTCATGGACCACTGTATTCTGGACCACAGGTTCAGAAGCTTCTAAATAGTTCTGAAAAACACCCCCTTGTTACAGTTCAAACAAGGTGTGATAAGAACATGAGATACTGCAAGTTTTTTCCTCTCATGATAGGGCTGCAACTGGCACACCAGCCAAAGCTGGGCCAAGGTCCCAGGCCATGGCATCTCCTTACTATTGAGCATATCCACAAGGACCGCAAGTCATGGACCTGCTCCTACAGGGATAGTAGTTTTACATCTAGAGATAATTTTGGAGCAGACAGAGACCTCTTGCTAGGAAACAACTTCAGCTTGTTCTCTCCCATCCAGAAAAGTAAAGTGGCTTTCAATAAAAGAGATACTTTAGCAGAGTTAATTCCAGCCTCTAGTGTGAAGGCAACATACAAAGCAGAATTCATGAACACTCACAACACTTATGGTACTTGACTTTGGTACAGTAATATTTTGGGAAATATCTTAGCATCTATTTTTGATTAAGGAAAATCTCTTGGGATAATATGAATATAATATAAAAGATACCTCTGGGGCAAGGTATTCTGGTGTGCCACAGAAAGTCTTCATTGTTGCTCCATCCTTGATCCCTTCTTTACATAACCCAAAGTCTGTTATCTTTATGTGTCCATCTTTATCCAGCATCAAGTTTTCCAACTTAAATAAAAAACATATAAAAACATTAGACATGAAATCATCCGGATA